CTACAAAACACCCTCCCATCCCAAGTCAGTCCTCAGTACCCCACGCACACACACACAATGCTTACTTTCCAATGCGCGAAACGCCCAGCTGAAAAAACTAGCGCCCCGCGCAATTCAGGCGGAAGCTGAGCTTTGAAGGAAAAAGCCTTCACCACGCGGGCTCTCTGAGGAATGCGACAACAAGGTTGCATCATAAAGCTCAAGGAACGTCGCAGCGACAGCCCCGCTTCAAAAAGGAACCGCCTTTCACCAGCACAGATGCATAAATTTGGCCCTGAAGCCGTGCGGCGTGTCAAGCGATAACCCCGGTCTGAAAAAAGTCCGCCCTCCATCTGTGTAACGGATGCACGACGTCATGAAAGTGTGAAGATGTGGTGAGGGAACCTCAGGCGGGAGCCCCATTCTGAAAAGAAATCGCCTTCCGTCCGTGTGCTTGCTGCTTGACCCTAATGTTCGCTGCGCTAAATGAGAGCCCCAAATTGAAAACGGTTAACCCTCCATCCGTGTAACTCTCAAAGTGTCAAAGACGAGTCTGCGAGGCGCAAAGTCGAGAACCCCAGTTTGAAAGCCACCCGCCCCGCATCCGTACAGCTTATGGTAATGTTGAAAACGAAAGTGCGCAACGCCAAAGCGATGACAATCCCATTTTGAAAGCGACACACCGACCGTCCGTGTAACTGTTGCCGCAAGCTGCAAGATCGTACACAGTGAGGGATTATCACGCGAAACGCACGGGCTGCCCTAGCGACACTCCCGGGAGTGCTGCAGAGAAAAACAAGTTAAAATGATGTGGGAGGAGGAGGAGGAGGAGGAGGAGGAGGAGGAGGACAACGACGAGAGGAGAGGAGAAGGAGAGGAGGAGGAGAGAGGATGAGGAGGAGGAGGAGGAGGAGGAGGAGGAGGAGAGGGAGAGGAGGGAGAAGGAGGAGGAGGAGGAGGAGGAGGAGGAGGAGGAGGAGGAGGGAGAGTGAGGAGCAGTAGGAGAAGGGAGAGGATGAGGAGAAAGGCAGGAGGACCACGACAGGGAGCAGGAAGTGCCCCCCGTCCACGACGACGAGGAGAAGAGCCGACCGCGAGGAGGAGGAGGAGACCACGAAGGAGGGGGGTGCAGGAGGAGATACGGGAGGAAGAGGCCACGAGAAAGAGCTGGAGAGGGAGGAGGAGAGCACGAGGGAGGTGGCAAGGAGGGGCAGCGCGCGCGCTCCCGCGCGTCGACGAGCATTGGCTCGAGCAGGCCGCACTCAGACCCGACGAAGCTCAGGCGTCCCCCAGCCTCCCGGCGGAGCTCCCGAGCCCTCGGCAGACGGGGGGGGGCAGGAGGAGGAGAGGAGACTGGAGGAGGGGAGCAGGGGAGGAGGGGAGGGGAGGAGGAGGGGAGGAGGGGAGAAGGGGGAGGAGGAGGGATGGAGAAGGGAGGAGGGTTCGGTTCGGTTCGGCTCTCCTCGAGAGCAAGGTGCACGGCCCCGACAGCCGGAGTGCGCTCCTTCGAAGGAGGCTTGCATTCGTGAAGGGGGCTTCGTGGGTGGCGGCGGCTCTGCTTGGGTGGGCGGGTCGGGTCGTGGTCTTGTCTCCATGGGCGCAGGCGCCTGGGATTGTCCAGGTCGGGGCGCTTGCCGGCCCCGCGCTGCCGCGGGCTTGGTTTGGGGCCGGGGCGTGGCTCCCTGTGGCTTTTCGCGCCCCCCCTGGTCGTCTGCGGGGGGAGGCGTCGCCATGATCTGGTGTGATGTGGTCGGTAGGTTCTGGGGTGTGGTTCAGGGTTAGACGCATGTCGGTCGTCTGGTGGATGGTTTCGGTTGTGCCCCCCCCCTTCCCCATGCGCGGTCGGACAGGAAGCAAGGTGTTGGTCTGGACATGAAGCGGAGTGCGGGGACAATGCTCGGGAGCGTCGGAGCAGGGAGGTAGCAGGAGCAGCATTTGCCATACTCATGCCACCGCGTCGCGCCGCAGCTGGGCCGGCTCAAGATGGAGGCTCTCCGGGAGGAGATTCGGCTCGGAAATGCCGGCCTCGCCGATTGGGAGAACGTGCGGGGTTTGAAACTTCGCTTCGATTTCCTCAGGCTGTGCGGGGCCTCGCAGGAGTTTCTCGAACAGTGGCGCTATGGACGGTCTTTGGGAGCCTCCCGTCACGTCGCCCGCGCTTTTCCCAACCATCCATCGGCACGGAACAATCCAGAATGGGCTGAGCGGGAGCTAGATAGATTGGAATCGATGGGAAAGATATCATTCTTTCCTGCAGGAGGCGCCAAGCCAGCAGCACTCAACGTAAATCCGCTCGGCCTCATCTTGAAGGAAAGGGAAGGAGTTCCTTCGGACGCGGCGGAGTTCGAAAGGCTGAAGGCCCGATTAATTGTCGACCTTCGGCGGGGCGGGGTTAACGATCTTCTCCCCGCGGTGAACGTCAATTACGGTACCATTGAAAAAGCCGTTAGCATGTTAGGTGCTGGATCGTGGATGTACGTGATCGACCTTCAAGACTCGTTCTTCAATTGGAAGGTAGCGGACGCAGACACGTTCCTCTTGGGGTTCTACTCGAATGTCCGCCGTGCTTACGGAAAGTTCGATTACCTTCCTTTCGGCTTAAAGCCGGCCCCGGGCACGAACGACTCGTCCGTGAAGGAGATCCTTCGCATTCTCTTGGTCAGAGAAGCTGTGCCTCTGCTCGATTTCGTCGACGACTTCCTCGGCTTCGCAGAGAGCGAGGATGAGGCGTGGAGGCAGCTGCGCACCGCCGTGCGTTTCTTCATCCAGTGTGGAATTCCCGTGAGCGCGAAACCCACAGGCGTCCGACCCCCTAGCCAACGACAGGTTTGGATAGGGTGGATTTTTGATACTGCCCGTCGTGTAGTGACAGTCTCCGACGAGAAGTGCGAGCGTTGCCGGGCTTTGTGCTTAGAGCTGATTGCTGCGAACAGCCAGCAAACTCTGAGAACGAGGCAGCTTGCCACCGCCGCAGGTTTTGCATCTCACATAGCAGACATTTGGCCGCAGGCGCGACGACGCTTGCGCCCATTGTGGGTCGACATGAACTCCACAGGCGTGTACGCTCTCTGGCAAGCCCAGCCAAGCGCCGATCCAGTGGTGCACCTTTCGCCGTTGAGTTTACAGAACCTCGATTGGCTGTATCGAGCGTTGGAGTCTCCACCAGTGCGTTCCCTGCACTGTGCGGGTGGCTCCTTATCCTCCTGGGGGCACAAATCGCCCGAGTTCCTCAACTGGCGTTCCTTAGCCAACGAGGGGCTCATCCAGGTAATAGAGACAGATGCATCCAAACTCGTAGGCTGGTCGTACCATGTCTGCGCCGACAGCCGAGTCGTGTCAGGCGTGTGGCCAGATGATTTTGTCTTAACCGAAGGCCACCTCGGTGCGACAGACATCAACTACAAGGAACTCTGGGTCGCCCTGCAATGCCTGCTGCGCGAAGGGCAGACGTTTGCAGGGTGGCGGGTTTTATTCCGCATGGACAACACAGCGGCTGTTCACTATGTGAACATACGGTACGGGAGGGTGCCGTCTCTAGAAGAGCTCGCCGGCCGGTTCGAGGCGGCAGAACGCAATGCGCAATGCTGGGCGCTCGCCGTGCATATTCGCGGCGTTCACAATCCTGTAGCCGACGGCGGGTCCCGCTCTCCAAGCTTCGCGTTGGCTTGGGCAGAGTGCCCCTTCCGTGACGCAGTCCTGCGTCGCGACTTGTTCCGGGATGTAGAGGCGAGGTGCCAGGTCTCGTTCTCGCTTGATTTGTTTGCGGATCGCGCTGGCCTGACGGCGCTTGCGCCCCACTGGTGTTTCCCCGAATTGACTGCGTTCGAGCAGGATCTGCGGGGCCACGTAGTGTGGGCTCACCCCCCGAGAGCGATTATCTATGCTATGCTGGAGCATTTCGCCCGGGAGGCGGCGGCCGGTTGCGACGCCCGCATCGTTATCCTTATTCCAGAGGACACGACTGCTCCGTGGTTCCGCGTGTCGTTGCTGCGGAACTGGCATCGAGTCCGCTCGTGGCAGGCGGGCTCCGATTTATTCCGGTGGGTGTCCACCGCTGGTGCCAGGCACGGCCCCCGTACAGACCTGCAGTATTCCGTCCTGCAGAACTGGCAGCCGGCGAACAAGCGCAGGCGCAAGGGTGAAACAAACATCACATCATCATCATCATCATCATCATCATCATCATCATCGTCTGTTCCATCCATCAGGCGATGTGTCGTGCCGACTCGGAGGCGCTATGAGCATGCGATCTTCAAAGCTACGGGAGCTACGGCAACAAAAAGGGTCGGGGAGAGTGCAAGGGCGAGAGAGTGGGTGGCAGGGTGGCCGGCTGAGGGGGGGGAGCGCGCCCGCCGACCCGCAGGTCCCCGCTTTGCCTCCCCATTCTTCCAACCTCAGGAGAGAGTGAGAGAGAGAGAGAGAGTGTGGGTGCATGTGTGAGGGAGAGACGGCGAGAGAAGGGGGGAGCGCGCCCGCCGACCCGCAGGCTCTCGCTTTGCCTCCCCATTCTGCCAACCTCCTTCCCTCTATTCACTTCACCATTCTCCGCCCTCCTTCAACGCACAGAAGGGAATGGTGTTGCTCGCCTCGCCCCCCCACCCCGTGCCCCTCCACCCTGTCGCCCTGCCCTCCCGTCGCCCCCCTCCCCCGCTTCGTACTTGGGAAGGAAGAGCTGGGACGGGGAGCGTGTATGGCTGCTCTGCACGCGGGAGGCGGCATAGGTGCCGGCGCGCGTGTGCACGGAGCTCTCGTCCCAATCTCGTCGGCTTGGGAGAGAGCAGTTGACCTCGGTGCCCCGGGGGTCAAAACGTCATGTGTGGCGCGGGCAAGAAAGGGTTATCGGGGGTCTGGTTTCGCTCGCACTGCGCCCCGGTCTCCGTAGCCGGTCTGGCTCGAGCGTTTGAGACTTCGTGCGTGCGCAGCATTCCACCAGCCCCCTGTCCATACCATGGCAGCAGACGAGACTCGTTTGAAGGAACTCATTGCGGAAGCATGTCAGCCTTCTGGTGCCATCCACACAGCCGTCAAAGAAGCGATTCAGGCGGCCGCAGTCGATGGTTGCGTGAAGATGCGTGCGGAGAGCGTCGCTCAGAAGGCAATCGGCGACAGCCTTTCCGACGGAGGGGCGGTCTTCACCGCAATCGCCAGTGAAGCCGATCGGCTCGCCGACATGAGCTTCCCCTACCGCAAGCAGCTCCGGGGCCTGAGTGCGCCGCAGTGGGCCAACACGTGGGCTGCGTTGATGGCAGACCCAGACGACCTCTCGGCCGCCGCAGATGCCATGAGAGACCCGTCCCTTGCGTCGATCATGGCGCTCCAGGCAGCTCACCCTGATAACGCAGAGCTTCAGGCGCTTCGCCAACATGCTGTTCGCAAGCATGGGGCGCATCACTCGTGGAAGACCCTTTGCTTGCAGGACAGGGGCGGTTCTTCGGACAAGCTCCGCGTGTTCTTGTCGGAGAGGGGTGAGAGTGCTGACATCAATGTTCGTGCTTTATCTCGGTCCTTGTTGGCGCTGTTTCACTTGGTAGAGAAGCGCTTCACGTGCGTTCAAAACACCAAAAAGACTGGCCCCGCCAAGGCCGAGGCGCAGCGAGCGTCCATGATGCCGCTTATGTACCATGCAATCAAGAGTTACAAGAAGCGCACGGTCAAACCATCTGCGCTGGTCCCGGTGGACCATTCCGTCCTCCTCCAGGACTTTGGGGTCGACCTCATTCTCGCCGAGTACGCGCTGCAGTCGAAGTACCAGCCCAGCGGCGAGAAGCGGGCCTTCGAGTCGGGCGCGGAGGGCCCCCGCAAGGCCGCGCGGGCGGGCTCTTCCCACGCCGGGGCCGCCCCGGCAGGCCCGCAGCCCGGCCGGCTGTTCCCGCTTGGCCAGGAGGAGCAGCGCGAGCAGCCCAAGGGCGCCACCAAGGGAGCTTCGGCAGGCAAGGGCGCCAGCGACCCTTCGAACCGCCAGCTCAAGGAGCGCACCGTGAAGGCCTTGAAGCAGGAGCTCGCCGGGTTCGCACCGCACAGCCGCCCGCCCGCAATCCAGGACTGGATTGATTCGCGCTTCAAGCGTGAAGAGCTGAAGCAGGCCATGGGCCAGCTCGTCCGCGAGGTGTGCCGGAACTGTTTGTTCGCTGGCAGGGGCGTGCAGGAGCACACGTACCGGGTCTGCCGGGACCTCGGTAATGCATGCGTTATTCCCTGCAGCCGGTGCGTCCAGGCCGGGAGGGCCGAGGACATTACGCATTGGGTCCAGGATTGCAGATATTTTGGCAATTAGCTCCCCTAGGAGGGCGCGGGCCTGCTTGCGTTCCACTATATATACATTACATATTATACGGGGCCGATGAGGAGGTTCAGCTTTTCGCTCCTCTTCTTCTGTGGCCCTCCCTCCCCTTCCTGGGAAATGCGAAACGCGATTTCCCTTTCACTTCCGGGCGTTCGCCTGCGTGTGGCTTGTGAATTCTGCTACGTACGACATCTTTAATTGGCATGTCTCTGTTCGGCCGCAGCAGCGAGTCTCCGCTCTTGGCCGCCGTTGGAAAATACATCGTCGCAGGCATCCGACGTCATGTTTTCCCTTGCATATGCCAGGGCTTCTGTGGTTCTTTTCTCTTCGGTCCGGCGGTTCCGCCTGTGTCGTTTTTCGGCTGCCCCGTGGGCGTTGTGTGGGCCCCCGGAAGCCAAAAACAAAACACAAAAAAATAGCGGGCACTCGGTGCTTGTTTTTGTCCCACATATAAGGCAGGGTTCTTGTTCTCTGCACGCCCCAGCGCAGGATCTTTTCCTCCCACGCACTATCTGGTGGTTGACGTGCGGGGTCCTTCCGTCGGAGTCATTTCACGACTCGGGTTACCACTGGTCGTCTGTTTTCGCTGGCCTAGTCGCAACTTTCGCCGGCGCCCGCGGCGCCCGGAGGTCGCCCGCCCGAGCGCCGCAGCCGCGCAGGCTCAAGGATGGCGTGGCGCCGCCCCCTGGATAGCCCCCTCGACTCGGGCCCCCAGTCGCGCCCAAGGCTGGGTCCGGCGTGCATACACCGCGATGATTTCCCTACGCCTGCATCGCGTTGCCCGCCCGGACACGCTGCCGCCCCCATCTTAACCTCCACACTTTTGGGCGCCGCCCGGAGCAGCCCGCGAGTTTCGGTGGACGACCCAGTCGGCAGGACAGCCTATCGCGTGCGTCCCGCGGATTCGCCTTCCAGGCCGGAGGCGTTGGATCGGTTGGGAAAAAGACGTCTGCTTGGGCAGCCTGTGGACCTCTCGGCGCTGGAGGGGGGCACGTCGCCAACAGAGGTATCCAGCAGGCAGAAGGCTCAGGCTGCCATACAGAGATGCATCCAAGCAGCGTGGGAGGACTCCACTACGGCGCGGTATGACTACGTGCTGCGCGGGCCCGTCAGCGAGCTGGAGTCCGCATCGGGGGTGCCCCTGTTGCCGTGCAGTACGGATCTGAAATTCATGGTATTATTTTCCCAGTTCGAAGGGTCCCCGTGGAATTCTGTCGTCACAGCCAAAGCAGCGGTGAGAGGATGGCACGTCCAGAGAAATCTCTTGGGAGACTGGGAGAAAGCGTGGACTGAGCGCACATTGCTTTTCTGGCGCGGATTGAAAAAGCGTTGTGATCACACGCTTTCGGCGGCCAAGCGCCCTCTGAGCATTGCAGAATTGTCTCATTTTGTAACGGCCTCGCACAACCGGGGCTCACCAGCAGGCGTGCGCAACGCAGCGTCAGCAGCGCTATGTTTCTTTGGAATCCGTCGCTCCTCAGAGATGCGAGCGTTGCTGTGTAACGACGTCCGTTTCAAAGCTGACGGCGTCGAGCTTCACGTCCGCAAACAAAAGAACGACCCTTTTGGTCGAGGCATGCTCTGTTTCATACCAGCAATTCCGCAGCTTGGCGCTGGCTGCCCTGTGGGCCTGCTTCGCGCTTGGCAGGCGCTCAGAGAGTCTATCTGGGACAAGGATCCAGCGACGTGCTTTTTTGCGTCACTAACGCCTTTCCGGCCAGGGCGATTGGCGATGATACGCTTCGCAGGGCCCTCGGTGCTGTGTGTCGCGACAGCACTGTGGGTTCCCACTCGCTCAGGAAGGGCGGGGCGCACTGGTGGAAGACTCAGGGTGGCGTTCCTGAGGAGGTCATCCAAGCGCAGGGCGGCTGGAGCACGCCGTCCACGATGCGCGCCTTCTACGCGCGTTTTTCGGACGATGATCGCTGCAAAATAATGCAGGCCGGGGTTGCGCGCTGTTCGCCTCTGCGTGTCCTTCCCTGGCGCCTGCGGAGCGTTTCGTTGCTCCTTAATTATCCCGCAGGTGGGAAAAACCTCGATGGGGCAGGCGCAGCCGTTCTGGCCGCACCTCCATTACCTCTAAACCAACCGCACCGCATCTGAGGGGAGTCAAGCAGCGTTTGTGTGCTGCTCGACTAGGCCTGCGGCTATCGTCGGCCTTCCCACCTGCGGCAGGATGCCGCCCCCGCGCCCTTCCCAAGGAAGGGCTGGCTGAGGAGCGTGGAGCGGTCGTGCACCAGAAAGGACCCGGCCCACTCCTGCCTCCTCCACGGCCGGCCGGTTGGCGCCTCCTCTCCCTGCATCCCCTTCCTCTCTCTACGTCCTCCGCGGCAGGTCTCCCTGCCAGTCCCTCCTTGCTCTCCCCTTTCCTCCGCGGCCGGCTCGTGGGGGGCTCGCCGGCCGGCCTCCCCCCTCCCTCCGGGCTGCCGCGCCGCCGTCCCTCGAATGCGCTCCTTCGAAGGAGGCTTGCATTCGTGAAGGGGGCTTCGTGGGTGGCGGCGGCTCTGCGTGGGTGGGCGGGTCGG